AGACTGTTTCTATTAATTAATTCATTCATTCATTCATTCATAATTTTAAGATTTTTAAAAAAGATAAAGCCACGTCCAGGAGGACCAGGCATGTAGTTCTCACTATAAAAAGGCTAGCTAGGAGAAATATTGTATTCCACAAATGGTTTTTTGGGTTTTTTTGTTTGTTTGTTTTGTTTTACTTAAGGTGCTACTGATACATAGTTTCAAAGTTATACTATTCCAATAGATTTATGGAAAAAAAGTTCAGTTGTTCTAACCCACAAGTCATTTTCCCTAAGGACAACCTCTGTTGCTAGTCTCTTAAGGATCTTCCAAGAAAGTCTATGCAGCTGCAAATGTGTGTGCACTGTCTTTCTGTCTGCCCACCCACCTGTCCATCCGTTGCTCTCTGTCGGACTGTGTCTGTCTATCTGTCATATATTTGTCACCAAATTCTAGCATTCCACACACCCTTCAGATTTATGGACTTCGCTTGTATTTAATTAGAGATATAGCTGGGAAATAGCTCCAGGCCAGCACTCATAATTCTTCATTCCCCCTGGAGACTGAGGAGGTGTGTGCCGGAAGATGCCAGGAGCAGTGAGTCACTGCCCCAGTCACCCTGGAGGACCCATTCCTGGCTCCTTACTTCACAGTCCTCTTTCCTCTGGAGGTTTAGTGCAGCCAGGACAGTGGCTACATGCTTGAGAACTACTTGTGAGACTGTTAACGATTCAAGTTCCGCTGACCCACCTCTGGCAGACTTTTTCTCAATTAAGTTTTATTTTATTAGGATATATTGGTAATTCATGCAGTTTACAGTCATCTTGGGGAGTGGCTACATGTACATATTACAGCTTGTTTTTTCTTTTTTTTTCTAATCCCTTTCCCTTTCCCTGCCCCTCCTGCCTCCTTCCCTGGTTCTGATATCACCTTTTTCATATTTGTTGATATTATTTGTCTTAACTCATGTTATAGTATATCATGCTTACATTGATTGGAGTTACTAGGATCCTGAACATGGCATATCTTTCTTCTTATTTCCCCTTCTGCTCCTTCTCACCTCTTGTCCTTGTTCCCTTGGACCACTTTCCTCTTGTAAGAGATCAGCCCCCTTGCCCATTTCTATCCATCCTTAGTCATTTTCATTGTTTGTACTTTGCTTCATTCAAATGAGAGATACCATACCATATTTAAGCTTATGTGCCGGACTTATTTCACTCAATATTATATTTTCAGGCACACCCACTTTCCTACAAATGTCTCAAACATGTCATTCTTTGTGGTTGAGAAGTATTCCATCTTATATAAATACCATATTTTCTTAATCCAATCATCTGTGGATGAGTATTCAGCCTGTTCCATGATTTAGCTATTATGAATTATACTATGATAAACATCGGCAAGCGTTTATTGCTGTAATATGACGCCTTAAGCTCTTTGGGGAAGCTATCTAACAGGGATAGCTGGATTGCATGGAACTTCTAATTTCAGTTCTTTGAGAAATCTCCATACTGAATTCCATGATGGTTGCACTGCGTTACATTCCCTCCAACAATACAGGAGGGTTCCTTTTTTGCCACAGCCACACCAGCATTTGTTATTGTTACATTTCCTAACAATTGCCATTCTTTCCAGAGTAAGATGGGATCTTAGTGTTGCTTTAATTTATATTTCTCTAATGACCAGAGATATTGAACAATTGTTGAACATTTGTATTTTTTCCTTTGTAAAGTGTCTGTTCATTTCTTCAGCTCATTTCTTGACTGGATCTTTAACTTTAACCGGTTTAATTTTTTTTGAGTTCTTTGTATATTCCACATACTAGTCCTCTGTCTGAGGAGTAGCTGGAAAAATTTTTTTCCCATTCGGAAGGTTGTCTCTTCAGTCTACTGAAAGATAATTTTGCTGTATAGAAGCTTTTTAGAAGATACAATCCCATTTGCTGATTTTTGCTGCTATTTCTTGTACAATTGAGGTTCTGTTTAGAAAATCCTTTCCTACACCAATGTCTTCAAGTGTTTTACCTATTTTATCTTCCAGAATGTTTAATGTTTAATCCATTTTGATTTTAGTTTAGTACATGGTCAGAGATAAAGGTCTAGTTTCAATGTTCTACAAATGGATAACCAGTCTGCCCAGCTCCACTTGTTGAATAGGCTATCTTTCCCCCAACATATGCTTTTGGACCCTTTGTCAAAGATCAAATAGTTGAAAGTGTTTGAGGGGGTTTCTATATCCTCAATCCTTTTGTGGGGGTTGTGGGGAAATGCCAAGGATTGAACTCAGAAACCTGCGCTTTCCAGGCAGGCAGTAGAACCACTGAGTTAAATCCCCAGCCCCCTCCACATCCTCAGTTCTGTTTCATTGGTCCAGGTGTCAGTTTTTGTTCTAGTACCGTGTCGTTTTTATCACTTTTGCTTTGTAGTACAGCTTGAAGTCTGGTATTGCCATGCTTTGCTCATACTGTCATTTGCTATTCAGGTCTCTTCTGGTTCTAAGTGCATTTTAGGATTGTTCTCTCTAAATCTGTACAGTATGCTTTTGGTATTTCGGCTGAGACTGTGTTGAATCTGTATAACAGTCTTGGAAGTGTGGCTGTGAAAATATTGGTTCTGCCTATCCTGGAGCAAGGGACATCTTTCCATTTTCAGATATTCTCATCAATCCCCTTCTTTCGTGTATTGTAGTTTTCTTTGTAGAGGTATTTCACTTCCTTAGTTAGGTTAATTCCTAGATATTGCATTTTTCTTGAAACAACTGTGAATAGTATTGTTTTCATAGCTTCCTTCTCACCCCGTTCATTGTTGGTATACACAAATATTGACGATTTTCTTGTGCTGCTCTTGTACCCTGCCACTTTGCTGAAATTGATTATTAATTATAAGAGCTTTTTTGGTGGTGTTCTTTGGATCTTTTAGGTAGAGTACCATGTCAGTTGCAGATAGTGATAATTTGAGTTCTTCTTTTCTTATATGCAACCCTTTTATTTCTTTCTCTTATCTAATTGCTCCAGCAAATGTTTCAAGTACTATGTTGAATGGCAGACTACCCCCTGAATATTCTGATGCAGCAGTCCAGGCTAGGCCCAGAGACACGCAGGGCACT